GAGTAGCCAATATGTTTTAAAGATGAAATTTCTTAGGTATGTTAATGTTGAATCCATACCTTTATTTTACTGTCTTTATTTTTTCGTAGATTTCATTTTGTTTAAGCTCTTAAGACATTTGTTTTTATAATCCAGTTAATAGGGTTTTATGATCTTCTTTAACACAATTGATTATATAAGAAATAAATAGGCAAAAGCATTTTAAAAAACGGTTTTTACTCTTAATTTTGAAGTAATTTTGCCCAGTTAATCACTTGCTATTGTGTCAGTTCCCACTTGCAGTGACACGGTGTCACTGTGTGTCACTTTGTGTGTCACTATGTATGTCATTGGGGAACTGCGCTCCTCAGGTTTCCTGTGACGAATTTTTTAGAAGTAGGTTGCTGAGCCTTACTTTAAGGCTCTTCTAGGTGGACTCAAACCAACCATTCAGTTAACAGCTGAGCTCCTTAACAGTTTAAACCACCCATGGGACTCTGAAGTAATTTTAGATTATAGAAAACTTGCAAGTACAGTACAAAATGTTCCTGTGTATCCTTCACCTAGCTCCTTCTAATGTTAACATCTTAGATGTTGTTGTTATGTGCCATCGAGTCAGACCTGACTCATAGCAACCCCTCCTTGGGGTTCCGAGGCGGTATCACCACGAGAGTACATTGCCTAACCTTCCTTCTGAAGAGTAGCTGGTGGGTTTGAACCACCAGCCTTCTGGTTAGCAGTCATGTGCCTTAGGCAGTACGCTACCAGAGTTCCTAACATCTTACATAATCAGTCAATTATTGAAACCAGGAAATTTACTTTAATAGGATTCTATTAACTAATGCATAGAATTTATTTGAATTTTGATAGTTCTCATTCGGTTTTTTTTCTGGTCCAGAATCCAATCCAGGATCCCACATTGCATTTACTCACTGTATTTCCATAGTCTCCTCCAGTCTGCTATAGTTCCTCAGTCTTTCTTTGTTTCTTATGATCTTGACACATTTGAAGAATACTGATCAGATATTTTGTAGAATGTCCCTTAATTTTGGTTTGTCTAAAGTTCTAAAGTTAATCTGCCAGGTTTTACCTCCATAAATCTATTTCATTTTTCCTTTTGTAATTAATATTTATCTTGTGGGGGGATACTTTTGAGGCTCTGCAAAGATCCTGTTTATCATTATACTTTCTGCTGCTAATTTGAGTATCCACTGATGGTTCTTACTGGCAAAAGTAGTTCTGTGGCATTTGCTTATAGTGATTTTCTATTTTAATCATTTCTTCTGTGTTCATTATTTGGAAATCTGTTGTAAGGAAGAGCTGTCTCTTCTCTTCCAGGTACTTGTTTAGTCAGTTATTTATATCAGTATGACTCAATGATATTTATTTTAGTCTGAGGATTGTAATCCAGTGTTACCATTATTTATTTTCTCAAATTGTCTCAACTTTGACCATTAGGACCTCCTTCAGGATAGTTCCTATATCCTGTCAAAATGTTTCCATCATGTTTTTGAACACTTCTTTACTTTCTAGCACCACAAGATTTTCTAGGCTCGTCTGATATCTTCCCTACCTCAGCCTCAGAGTCATAACTGTTTTTCCCTGGTTCCTTTAACTGGAGAATGGTAATTAGAAACGAAGGTTTGGGCATAGGTGTGTGCATTACTATCAAGCTGTCACTGTTTTTAGGCCCAAAGAACAAAATATTTTTTACAAATTCTGTCTCCAAAGATTCTGTGATCTCTTCCTGTCCTTTATATTTTGTTGTTGTTATGTGCTGTTGAGTCGGACCCAACTCACAATGACCCCTCCTTGGGTTTCCGAGGCAGTGTCACTACGGAAGTAGATTGCCCATCCTTCCTTCCGAGGAGCGGCTGGTGGGTTTGAAACTACAGCCTTCTGGTTAGCAGTCAAGTGCCTAGGCACTATGCTACCAGAGCTCCCTCCTTTATATATGTTGTTGTTGTTGTGTGCCATCGAGTCAGCCCCGACTCATAGATGTAGGTATAATTATTACCTGCTTGTGATTAGTGCTTGTTTTACTTTTTTCCCCTCAGTTACCTTTTCTTAGATATTTCATATATGTTGTTGTTAGGTGCCATCGAGTTGGTTCTGACTCATAGCGACCCTGTATACAACAGAACAATACACTGCCTAGTCCTGCACCATCCTCACAATCATTACCGTGCTTGAGCCCATTGTTGCAGCCACTGTGTCAGTCCATCTCATTGAGGGCTGCTAAAAGGGCAAGGGGGCCACATCTCCTGACCTGCTCTAATCCCACAAGAAGATGACAGAGTCACTATCAGTAACCCAAGGTCTATTACTGCAAGGCCAGACATGCTGCCTCCCTCCAGCCCTTTCACCAACCGTTCTCCCAAAGCACCCACCACCTCTCTCCTGGGGCCTATAATTCACTGCAGTGGCCACACAGAACTCACAGATTACGGGCTTTATTAGGGAAACACCAGGCTACAATTCAAGTTCAGGAAAAACGCTCAGTCTCTCTCCCAGCCCACAGTCTCTCCCAATAGTGAGTGTCCCTCGGTGTCTCACTCAGCAATGTATATCTCTTTCAGCAGCACATCTTCCTCAACCAGCAGTCAGAGAGAGACTTCTGCCTCTAGGAGGCCTCCTTTTGAGCCTGGCAGAGTGGCCAAACTAACCAATCATAATATCAGAGTTCTAAGCACCTGAGAGATTGAGCAAGAACCTCCCAGAACATTGCTTTGTGTTATGCCCAACAGAAATACTCCAGGTGGATAACTTTTACAATCAGGAGCTCCTCAGTTGCTCATAGCAAATTCCACCACAGAGTTTACAAATTCTTATGGCTAGAAAGGCCACACTAAGTAATTTACTATACTGCAAGGGTCTTCCCCTTTTTCATTGACGTTCTACTTTCCCAAGCATGATATTTTCCAGACACTGGCCCTTTCTGACAATATGACCAAAGTAGGTGAGATGAAGTCTAGTCCTTCTCACTTCTAAGGAGTATTCCAACTGTACTTTCTTGAAGACAGATTTGTTCATTCTTCTAGCATTCCATTTCCATGATACATTAAGTAGTATTCTTCACCAATACCGAATTCAAATGCATCAGTCCTTCTGTGGTCTTCCTTATTCATTGTCACGCTCCCACATGTGTATGACGCATACCTTTCCTGATTATAAGCCATGCAGTAACCCCTTGTGCTGTTTGAATGACAGCCTCTTGGTCTGTGTGCAGGTCTGTCATGAGCACAAGTAAGTGTTCTAGACTTCCCATTCTTTGCAACGTTACGTGTAATTTGTTTTGATCCACACAGTTGAATGCCTTTGCATAGTTAATAAGACACAGGTAAACATCTTTCTGGTATATCATACGTCGACAATTGTATTTTTAAATAACTACTTTAAGGGTAATGTAATATTGCCCTGTATGAATATTAGTTTTATTATTCCTTTTTATTGGATATTTTTGTTGTTTTTAACTTATATGTAACTAATACCATCTTAATGCTTTAATGGTGTTAGTTACATATATATTAAAATATTTCTTACAATACAGAATTAAAAGTAGGATTACTGTTAGATGACAGTTTTATAGCCCTTAAATACACAGATTGAATACTGATTTAAAATCTTACTAAACTGTAAGATGACAAGAAAATGCTCCCCAAAAGGAGAAACATCTTTTTAAAAGGCTGAAATAATAACTCTAACATGTAATTTTTATATATACGTAGAACTTTATTTAAACTTAAGGAGTTCTGGTGGTACAGTGATTAAAGCATTTGGCTGATGACTGAGCCTACCAGCCACACTACAAGAGAAAGAGGAGTCAGTCTGCTTCCATAAAGATTTATAGCCTTGGAAACCCTGTGAGGTAGTTGTACTCTCTCCTTTAGGGTCACTGAGTCAGAATTGACTCGATGGCAGTGGGTTCTGTTCTGGATATTTAAACTTACGGTTTGAATTTTTAAATGAATCAGAATTTAACTTCTCTTTAGGAACTTCAAAAATAAAGCATCTGTATATATCGTAATCTATTTCTGTAGTTAGCCTATCTGCTATATACTATGTTAGATTATTTAACATTTAGGATAATAAAACTTAAGGAAGGAAGTTGATAGAGATATTTCCTAAGTATACAGTGACTTGGTACAGAATAAAAATATTTGCATTAAATTTCTATCCAAGGGGAAGAAATATCAGGATCTGATATCAGTGGCTCGGAGGAGGAGGATGATGAAGAGGGTGAGGTTGGAGAAGATGGAGAGAAAAGGAAAAAAAGAAGGGGTAAGTTCTTTTTGGTGTTCTAACATGTGGGGATTAAGTGGGATTACCACTGATTAAAGATTTAACCTTTTTAAGGCAGTAGAGTGCAAGCCTTTTATTTTGTCAAGACAGATTTTTAGTGATGGTAGCAATAGAACAGAGGAGATAATTAACTTTAACTTTGCGTTCTTTTTTTTCTCCTGTACTTACGTCCTGTATATAGGTGAACCATAATGCCATATATTCTGTTACTTTAAAATGATAGTAGATATATCATTTTAATTTCATGTAGTGTTTTAATTTTATGTAAGAATTTTCATCTGTGTTTGGAACCTAAATTTCTTTGGTAATTAAATTACTGTGGAGTTTTTCTAATAGTCATAGAAGTCATTGACTTTTTAAGTAATAAATTTATATGGAGAAATTTTTTTTTTCAGGATACTATTTTTTAATTTAATTTATTTTTCTTTATAAAATGTAATCAAAGTTTTACCGTCTTGTGGGGCATTTGTTGCTAAGTGTAAATTAAAGCAGTATTCGTTTTGATAAAGATGAAGAATGACATGTGAAAGAGAGAGACATATTATAATGGCCTGTTTCAAACTTTTTTTTTACCCTAAGTGTTTACTCATTTCAGAACTCTCTTCCATTAATGTGGATCATTGTTTTCAAGCTGGTGCATATTTTGCTTGTCTTAATAAAAATGACTTTGCTGAAAATAAAACCCATCACTGCTTGATCAGATGCCTCAGATTTAAAAACTGTAAAGACTCTGTAACTTCAAAAGGCAGGAGAAGCATGACTTAGAGAAAATATTGGCAAAGTATAGCCCATGGGCCAAATTTGACTTACCACCTGTTTTACAAAGGAAATATTATTAAAACAGCTGTGCTTGCTTGTTTGTGTATGGTGTTTGACTGTTTGATTTACAGCAACAGAGATGAGTATTGCAGCAGAGACCTTAAGTCTCGCAAAGCCTAAAACATTTATTATCTGGCCCTTAACAGAGGAAGTTTACCAACTTCTGATCTAGAGAAGTAGTTTTGTGTTCGTATCTATTTTTTCAGAGTTAACAATTCTTTTCAGAACTAAAGCAAATATGGTCTTGTAAACTTTCACCCAAATCACAATAGAAATTTTAAAAAAACTAAAGCAAATAATGGATTTGTTAGAAATAAAATTTTGAATAGAGAAAATTGTCACTGTTTAGCATATTAAAATATTCAATAATACCTTCTTTCCAGGCATGGAAATCTAAAAAGTTTTCTGTGAACCTTTTCAAAGTTTTGCTGTGAAACATTAAAGCATAATTTTATCTGGTAGTTTGATGTCTTGGAAGGGAGAGAGCAAAATTGGAGACAGACCAATGTGGCTATTGCAGTTGCCACTGAGTCAGGTCTGACTCCTGGCCACCCCATGTGTGGTGGAATAGAACTGTGCTCCACAGGATTTTAAGTGGCTGGTGTTTCAGAAGTTGATTGCCACCCCTTTCTTTTAAAAGGCACCTTTGGGTGGATTCCAACCTCACCCTTTTGGTTAGCAGCTGAGTGTGTTTCACAATTTATACCACCCAGCAACTCCAACCTGACTGTAATAAAGGGTAATTTTCATTCTTGTATTTTTGTTGTGTGTGACTTTTTAGTCCTTGGGTGATGCAGAAGTTAATGTACTTGGCTGTTAACCAAAAGGTTGGTAGGTTGAGTCTACCTAGAGGCAACTCAGAAGAAAGTTCTGGTGAACTGCTTCTGAACAAAATCAGCAATTAAAAACCCTGAGGAGCACAGTTCTACCCTGATGCACATGGGCTCACCATGAGCTGGAATCAACTCAATGGCAACTGGAAATGACTTTTTAAGTTTTAAAACTGAGTTCTTTAACTTTTCTACCTAAATAGTTTAAATAGACTTAAGTGTCACCAAATGCCTTATTTGTTTTTTATTCTTTTCATTTCAACCTTCTAAATTATTATATTTTGGGTAAATACTGGGTTTTCCCACAGAAGATGCTCAAAGGAACATAGTTTCTAATCCCCTATATGGCTTTTTAAAGTAGGAAATATTTGATAGACTATCAAGACTGGTTGTATGGGGGAAAAGAGTTTTGGTTCTTTAACACAAAGCTTGATCTCTAATATTCTTTCTTCTGGAACTGAATTTTTCTCCGTGTATGTGTTCATTTTTTTCTTCCTGTTTCTTGGGTTTTGGTTGGGCTCATTTCTTTGTCTTCCAGGCAGTAACAGCAGCAGTAGTTCAGACTCCACATGTTCTGTGATAGAGAAACCTCTGGATAAGTTCTTGCCTAGTGAGTGGTAGCTCTTCAATTCTCTAACAGAGCTTTCGCTTTTCCATAACCCATGGGCTTCATTTGAGAAATGCTGCACTGCTCTCTGTCATTACTTAAGAATACATGTTGGATTTCTCAGTAGACCAAAGCATGTGTTGACCCCCCCTCCCCCATTGCTTCTGGTTAACCATTAATTGTTCAAATGTGCTTAAGCTTATGTCTGAGACAATGGAAGAGAGATTCATGCTTTTGCAATTAAGATAATGTAAAGAGAGCTAGTAAGCTGTATGAAAGAATAATTCTTAGTTACTTTTTATGTTTAGACAATAATTTTGTAATTCTAGTCAGTATAAGGCACATGTAAGAACAAATCTGAATTTCTAAAAGTATAAATTGTATTTGGTAGTACAACAATGCCCATTATAACATGTCTTACAGTTAAAAAGATTATACACTTTGGTGAATGTCCTGTTCCTAGGGGTAGCTTAAGATCGAAAGCTTCCAAATAAAAAACAATATAAAGTTTGAAACAAAGATGAATTGAATGGTATTTTATTTCAGATGTCTATTGATTGTATTCCTAAATTACTTCATCCATCTTGAGAGAACTTTCTAAGATATGATTAAAAGAGTTCACATCCTTGAAAAGTTTATGCGGGATCTATCCAGACTTATTTCAGACTTACAGGCGTTTTCTTAAACCTTAATTAAATTGAAAAGGATTTAATTTTATCTACTTACATTTTATTTTCAGAAGAAAAGAGAGGTGGTGTTTTCTTGTGCTAACTTGCAGCTTACTGTCTTCTAAAGCATTATCTGTATACTTACCCTTTCCCAAACTAATAATAAAAATAGTTACTGTTCTCATGCTTTCAACTTCCTAGAGGAACATTTCCAATAATATTTAGAAATATATTTCTCTATTGGCAGTTATTAAGCATTTACAAAAATAATTTTAGAGGATAATTGAAATTGAGATCTATGAAATTGCTTTTGAAACCATATAGAGGTATTTATATAAACTGCAAAACACAAGAAAAATGTCTGAATGTGAGGCATTGTAATTTAATTTGCTATTTTAAAACTTTAATTATTTAAGAGTAGTTGTATTAAAGTATGTGGGAGAAAGATGAGGTATTCTGCTTCTGTAAAGATTTTCTGCCTTGGAAACCCTATGGGGCAGTCCTGCTCTGTCCCATAGGGTTGCTATGAGTTGCAATCAGTGCGACAGCAGTGGGTTTGGTTTTGGTTTTGGTATATTAAAGTATGTTATGAAATGATTGTACTTTTTCAATTCAAGAAATTTTAATTACTGTTTGCATACCTAGCACATACTGTTAATTTTGTGTGTGATGTGGGTGTGTTGGTGAAGTGGAGAGATGGTTTCCCCAGCATGTGGTTGCTCTATGTAACTTGTTTGTACTCTCTGTTTAAAAAATATGAATGCCCCCTCCCCTTTTTTTAGATGTCCCTTGCTTGAGTCATCAATTGGTCATTTAATTTAATAGAATCAATATTATAATTACTTCTGATCTACTGGTAGATTGAATGTAAATTGGTTATTATACAGGTATGCTTCACTTTAGGTGATAAATGTTTTTATGAAAAAATTGCTTATAAATCAAGTTGGAAAATCAAATCACATTGTGACTGCATTGGGAGAAATAGCTGTCCTTAACAATTCTTCATTAACTCCTTCTGTTAATTAAAAAAAAAAGAAAATGCAGATTACTATATTCTAATTTATCTGTTTAGTTGGTTAAGGTTTTTCTATCAGATTTTCGTAAAGGGGAGCATACCTATAATGGATCCTTATACTACAAGGAACATTGAATTGGGAAATTACGGAAATGAAGAATGTGAATTTTGTTATTTTTAAGTTAATAATTTTTAAAATTGGCTTATTTTTCTGTGTTTCTCTTTTAGACTAATTCTCATACCTCAGCAGGTTCCCAATTCCATGTCTGCTGTTAGTATAACCAGTTATATTTGCAGGAGTTTGGGAGTCAGTGTGAGCTCCTGAGATTGATTTGAATTATAATTTTAGACTAAATTAATCCTCTTATCTTTGCTTAAATTACATCTCTCATTGCGTTGAACATGCTTTTTTTTTTACATAGGCTGTATTTCAGTTTTGATAATGATTTATTTCCATACTTATACTATAAATGAATGCTATTATACATTTTTCTTTGTTTCACAAAAGAAATAATGTTTTTCTTTTTCCTCCTCATCTCTGTGCACATGCTTCCTGTCTACGATTTGCTTACTACTTCTTATTGCAAGATCAAGCAGGTTGGTGTGATTGATTTGCACTCCATATGGTACAGTTATTTATCCCATAAGGAACTTTGCTATTTAATTACACTACACTTTTTTAAGATTTAATTATTATTATTTTTTTAACAAGGTAAGTATCTATCTTTCATATTTAAAAATATCCTTCATGGATGGCATAAGCTTTTTTAAAAAATTCCTTTTTGTCCTAAATTTTAAAAATACAAATGTAAATGATTTCACATCTCTCCTCCTTTTTTTTCCTCCTTAACTAGAATTCATGTGCCTGGATACCTATGCCCATAGGTGTTCATGTCATGAAAACGAACTTAATTAAATTAATACTTCCCAGAATTTGTTCCCTTTTCCTTTCCCTTGTCAGAGTTCACCATTACAGTTTTGGTTAGAGCGTATGGCGAAGGTGAAGGGCAGTTCAAAAAGTTGCTATTCCCATTTGGTTTAATTAGATAACTTTTATGACATTCACTTTTTTTAGATTTATTTACCTGAAAGTTTATGCTGCGCTCTATCGTGGAGCATTAAAGGAAGGTTTTTTGTTTGGTAGTTAATTAGGCTTTGTTATATGGTAAAGAATTTATGTAAAAGTGACTTTTAATGATGTCACATTTAAAAATGCCTGGTTAGGAGGGTAGGTACATATTCATATTTAGGACAAAGTATTATCTGGGGAGAAATAGAATGATTTTTCAGAGTGATTCTGGCCAAAATAGTACATTACTCAGTAGTAGACTTTTTAATCTAAACCTGGCAATGCATGCAGGCTCATCTTCATGAAAATGTTACAAGGCCACAATAAGATTTTTGCTGCTAAAGCATCTTTTTGAAAAAAAATTACCTGAATGGTTTTGAGTTACTAGAGCGATTCAGGCAGAGTAGCAATTCATCAATAGGTATGTATGTTTGTACTTCTACATGTAAAATGTTTTATTGCCTCTTGATGAATTTTGAAACTGTAAGTTTTTAACTAGTCACAAAATAATTAGGATCCAAGAAGCCTAAAATGTTCATGTGTTGATCAGATCATTTCCTCCATACTGTTAGTATCCATGTCTTCACACAAACTTTTTTTTGTATTAACAAATTTGCCTTTTTTTTTTTTTTTTTCCTTTTAAATGTTTGTAATTTTGAGGTGGGAAAGAAGTTACAAGTTTTTAAATGCATGTACTTGCTTTATACCTGGAACTTCCCCTCAACTTTCTAAGAAATAGAATTACTGACAGGAAATCCTTTCTATGAATTCATTAGAAATAGAAATTAATTTTTTAGTACAAGTGACTTGCCAAAAATGTCAACAGAATCAGTTCTACATCCTGACTTTTGGAATGCAATGAATCACACCACACCAGAGCGTGAATTTGGATCAGTACTTTTATTTAATCTTTTATTTAACTTACTTGTTTTGTGGCTTAGATTTGTTTTGGACTTATATTTCTGTACAAGTGAAGGGTAATGTATTTTAAACCCTTTAGTTTTTAATGTAATTTTGTCTTAAAGAACTAAAGTTTATGGATGTTTTTCTGTCTCATGGTTCTTGAAAGAATATATACATATACATATATATATATATATCATTATTACTTTTCAGTTCTTTTCCCTTGCTAGCAGGAGGGATTAACTGTTGGGTGGAAACATTAGCAGTCTATAAACTCTTCTGATTTCCACTCTTCTGTGGTGCTTTGGGAAAGAAGTTAAGAATGAGAGAAAGCATTCAGGACAGCCTCAGACCAATTCTATGAAAAGTTTGATTGGTTTTCTGAAGGAAAGTATGTTTCCAAGAAATTGCATTACCAGAAATGAAATCTCTTTGATTCAGTTTCATAACTAGTTTTATAAGGTGGTTTTTATACTCTGTTTTATGTTTTTCATAATAAATTCATTCAATAAATTTTTATCAAGCACCTACTATACGTATATAAAAATTCTAGGAGACATTATCATCAGAATAATCAACTGAAAGGTATATTTCCAACTGTATTATTTTACAGAATTTCTGCTTACATTTGACACTGTATCTGACTTGGGGAGATTATTGTGGTCTTGTGTTTTACATGACAGTGAGTTATTTTAGTTGCTCATTTAGGGTAAAATGATAAATCATGGCAGCTCAGCAACTCTAAAATGATGGTTAATTTCTATGTAATTTTCATATAATTAGTACTGAATTTCTTGCCTTAGAAGTACAATATGAAATAAAATACTTCCAAGTAACTTAATTAAAAATTTTAGAACTGTGATACATAACGTACTTATTAATATAAATGCTGCCTGATATTTGTATATGTTATAGCTGTATGTGACTTTTCTTTATGCATTTATTTTATGTGATTTTGGGGAAGATATTTTTAGAAACCACTTGGTTGTATACTTGGTTATCAGAATAAGTAACTAAAGAATTAATGTCATCTTTTTGACCTATATATGTTACTTAGGAGACACAGATCTTTTGCTTTTTTTATTTATTGCTCAGTCCTTCTGTCTGCTCATCTGTTTTGCTACTTTTTTCACTTACTTCTATTCTTAGCTATCGTTGCACAGGTAGACAATTTGAATTTAGCAATTACTTTAAAATTCCTCCAGAAACATAATAAATAGAAATACTGTATATTTTCATTTGATTTCTTTAAAATGTTGTTGTATATCATTTTGTATTATTGAGGAATCTGGGCAGTTGTACACTATGTAATTTACAAAGCTCATTTTAGTGATTGTTTGAATTAAATAACTCAAATAGGTAAAAAGAAAGTTTCTCCAGATAAGATGGTTGAAATGCAAGCAAAAATTGATGAGGAGAGGAAAGCACTTGAAACAAAACTTGACATGGAGGAAGAAGAAAGAAACAAGGCTAGAGCTGAGTTAGAGAAACGAGAAAAGGATCTCCTTAAGGCCCAGTGAGTATGACTGAATTGAGATAAATTCATGATTTAAAGTTTTAGTATTTGTCATAAGGTATATAAGCAAGGAAATGGAATAGTAATTAAATAGCTTGATTTTTTCTCCAGTACAGGCAGTCTCCAGGTTAGGAATGTCTGACTTAATCTGTGGCCCATAGTTATGAACCAGCCCCCATAAAAAATTTATTAAAAATTCGAGGTACATACAGTGGTTTGTAATAACAAATGGACACTAAATTCAACTTAAAGACAGACTTAGAAGGGACTTGTGCACACCTATGTTCACTACAGTATAATTCACAATAGCAAAAAGGTGGAAGCAACCTAAATACCCATCATCAGATGAATGATTAAAGAAATTGAGGCATGTGCATACAGTGGGATACTATATACCTTGGGGAATAATGAGGAGTCTGTGAAACATCTCATAACATGGATGAATCTAGAAGACATTAAAAAGCAAACTCACTGCCATCAAGTCAATTCTGACCCATAGCTACCCCCTTTGGGTTTCCAAGGCTGTAAATCATTATGGAAGTAGATCACCTATCTTCCTTTCACAGAGCTGCTGGTGGATTTGAACCGCTGACCTTATGGTTAGCAGCCAAATGCCTTATCCACTACGCCACCAGAGCTCTCTAATGGAAGACATTATGCTGAGTGAAATAAGTCAATCAGGAAAGGAAAAATATTGAATGATCTCGTTTTTATAAAAAGTCAATAATAGGTATACACATAGAAAGCAATGATATTTAGTGGTTAGCAGGGAGAGGAGAAGGAGGAAGGGAATTGCTTCCTAGGCAGAAAACACTTGTTTATTTTTGATAATGGGAAAGGCAATACCCAATATGGGTGAACTCTGCACTACTTTTCCAGGGTAAATGAAGACGCTAAGAAATACACAAGAATAATGGATGATTTTGGTAAATGCTATAACGTACAGTTTTGCAACAATAACTAATAAGTGTTTTTTGGTTACATAGGTCGACTTGTTTGCATATATGTGTATAGGAAGGCATATGTGAATATATGAGTATGCATATATAGGTGTATCTACCAAAACCAAAACCAAACTCACTGCCATGGAGTCAGTCCCAACTCACAGCAACCCCTCCTTGGGTTTCCAGGGTGGTATCACTATGGAAGTAAATTGCCCAACCTTCCTTCCGAGGAGTGGCTAGTGGGTTAGAACTGCCAGCCTTCTGGTTAGCAATCAAATGCCTTAAGCACTATGCCACCAGAGCTCCTAGGTGTATCTACAGGCATATGTATATAGATGTTTATGTGCACTGCAAGTAGAGTTATATATAAAACTGTATGGGGCACACATTCCATTAATAGGTATATATCCTAAAGAAGTGAGAGCCAGATCTCATCAACATTCTTTAGGGAAATGGAAAAACCAATCACTAACTTTATATGGAAAGGAAAGAGACCTCAGATAAGCAAAGCACTATTGAAGAAGAAAAACAAAGTAGGAGGTCTCACACTGCCGGATCTCAAAACCACAGTAGTCAAAACTGCCTGGTTGGTTTAATGACAGATACATAGACCAATGGAATAGAATTGAGAACCCAGAAATA